CTACAGTAATCAAAACAGCATGGTACTGGTACCAAAACAGAGATATAGACCAATGGAACAAAGCAGAGGCACCGGAGGCAACACAACATACATACAACTATACAATCTTTGATAAACCTGACAAAAACAAGCAATGGGGCAAGGATTCCATGTTTAACAAATGGTGTTGGGAAAACTGGCTAGCCATGTGCAGAAAGCAGAAACTGGACCCCTTCCTGACACCTTACACTAAAATTAACTCCAGATGGATTAAAGACTTAAACATAAGACCTGGCACCATAAAAACCCTAGAAGGAAATCTAGGCAAAACTATCCAGGACATAGGAGTAGGCAAGGACTTCATGAACAAAACACCAAGAGCATTGGCAACAAAAGCCAAAATAGACAAATGGGACCTAATGAAACTCCACAGCTTCTGCACGGCAAAAGAAACAGTCACTAGAGTGGATCGGCAACCAACAGAATGGGAAAAAATTTTCACAGTCTACCCATCTGACAAAGGGCTTATATCCAGAATTTACAAAGAACTCAAGCAGATTTACAGGAAAAAAACAAACAAGCCCATTCAAAAGTGGGCAAAGGATATGAACAGATACTTTTCGAAAGAAGACATATATGAGGCCAACAATCATATGAAAAAATGCTCATCGTCACTGGTCATCAGAGAGATGCAAATCAAAACCACATTGAGATACCATCTCACGCCAGTTAGAATGGCGATCATTAAAAAATCTGGAGACAACAGATGCTGGAGAGGATGTGGAGAAAAAGGAACACTTTTACACTGTTGGTGGGAGTGTAAATTAGTTCAACCATTGTGGAAGACAGTGTGGCGATTCCTCAAGGCCTTAGAAATAGAAATTCCATTTGACCCAGCAATCCCATTACTGGGTATATATCCAAAAGACTATAAATCGTTCTACTATAAGGACACATGTACACGAATGTTCATTGCAGCACTGTTTACAATAGCAAAGACCTGGAATCAACCCAAATGCCCATTGATAATAGACTGGATTGGAAAAATGTGGCACATATACACCATGGAATATTATGCAGCAATCAGAAATGATGAGTTTGTGTCGTTTGTAGGGACATGGATGAATCTGGAAAACATCATCCTCAGCAAACTGACACAAGAACAAAAAATGAAACACCGCATATTCTCACTCATAGGTGGGTGATGAAAAATGAGAACACATGGACACAGAAAGGGGAGTACTAAACACTGGGGTCTATTGGGGGGAGAAGGGGAGGGCCAGTGGGCGGGGAAGGTGGGGAGGGATAGCCTGGGGAGAAATGCCAAATGTGGGTGAAGGGGAGAAGAAAAGCAAAGCACACTGCCATGTGTGTACCTATGCAACTGTCTTGCATGCTCTGCTCATGTACCCCAAAACCTATAATCCAATAAAAAATTAAAAAAAAAAAAATAGTCCATTGATAATCAAATGCCAGTTATAGACCAGGTAGCTCCGTTAGTCCAGATAAGGACTAAGAATTATTAAATTTGGCAAACTTATATGGAGAGATAGACCAATTATTGCATTATATAGTATAAGCTTGTCAGCTAAAAATATCAGGACTTAATAAACAGAGACCTTATTCAAAAAGCTGATTGCAAGTGAGGGAAAGGAACTATTGCAACAGGCAGAGTGGCATTATTACAATATGGAGAATGCTATGACCATAAGATCTGCAAAAGTCTTAAGGGTTAGGCAAAAGAATTTCTCATTTATAAGGAGAAATAACAAGTCTAGAAATAGCTGAATGTGGGAAAGTGGAATGAAAAAAAGTGGTATGGTCTGACCTTGGAGCACAGACTTTTTTACCCTGAGACAAGCCTATTCTCAGGATGGTCTGTTAAATGGAGACTATGTGCTGCCTCAGGCTGATGGTGGGCCAAAGTTCAGGGGCCCAGGGGAAGGAAATAATCTTAACCAAAGTTTGGCTAACAAATATTTTGTTCCAACAGATTGGTGGGAACAAAACCTTTCAGCTAATTGTTAAAGAGGGAAAGAATGGAAATTTGGAAGGTCTGTGTCAAGCTTTGTTATAGATAAATAAGAAAGGCATCCAAGATTATTATTTAAGTCAGTTATGAAGAGCAGGGTGCTTCTTTTCACTAAGCTGTTTCCTGAAACAAAGGACTGAGGAGATTTGTTAACTTTTACTGTTTTCCAAGAACACAGGACTCGTGTAAAACTCAACACTGTCAAGTGTGACACATAAGATTTTTCACAGGACACAGGATAATGTTATATAAAGACATTGAACATAGATCAACATCAAGAAAGTGTTATTGGGGGAAGGAACTGAGTCTCCCAAAGACTAAAATTGTGAGACAAATAATTGAGAAAGACAGTTCAAGAAATAGAGGTAACATTTGTGAAAAGCATTTAATTTTGATTATCAGGTAATTCTATGTAGGATGAATGGAGATGAGATTAAGGAGCTAATCTCATGAATGGAGATGAGATTAAGGATGAATGGATGAGATTAAGGATAAATGGAGATGAGATTAAGGTCAGGAAGGACTTTGTATGGCAAACCAAGAAATTTGTGATTTGTCTTTCAGTGGTATGCCAATGAATGAAATATATTAAACCAGGATGCTATATGATAAGATTTGCATTTTGGAATGCTCAATCTAGCAATAGTGCATTTTATGGTTTGGAAGGAGTAGGGGAATAGGAATTAATTAAGATATCAGGAGAAATCTAATAACTTAGGGAAGTGATAATAAAGACATGGAAAAAGTAATAGCAGCAAATAGAAGAAAAAGAGAGGTAAGACTAATATTTGGTATGTTGAATATAGTAGATCTAGTAACATTTGCATGCAAGGAAGTATAAAAGAGAAGAGAACCTGGGATGGTTCCAGGATTTCTGGTTTAGGCAACTGTGGGAAGTAGTACCATTTACTAAGGTAGAGCATATGAGAAAGCAGATTGAGAAAGATTCATATCTGGAAAACTTGTATTTAGTTAGATATCAGTTTGACTATATTGTTATGTAACTTAGAAGAGAGGTCAGGCTTAATGATAGAAATCTGAGATTCTCTAGCACAAAGGTGAATGTTGAAGCTATGAACTTAGAAGTGGTCTTTTGGAGGATGTGTAGAGATTAAAAAGAAACAGAGAAAATTCTTTCAATGTAACAATGAAGCAATAAACATGGTATACATAGTTTTGTTTGAAAGTGCAGAAGTAAACAAGATTTAGTGGAAAACTGGGAGGCGTGTAGTAGAGAATCTAAGGCAAGTATTTCAAGGAGGGAATGTCCAATGTTAACTCTAAAAAAGTGCCCTTGGATGATAGAGATAGAAGCCAGTGGAAGGAGATATAGAAATAAAAGAAAGTGGAGAAAAAATGTGGAATTCTGTCTCTAGATTTTGGGCTCTTAATGAAGGTTAGATATAAAGGATTGAGAGTTGGGATTTAAGGATAGGTAAAGTTATATTTTTTTGTGAAAGGATAGTGCTAGCAGAGGAAGAGCCTTAGAAAATAGAGAGATATGGACTTATAACAGTGACAGAGTGCCAGTTTTGGAAGAAAAAGAGATACTTCTTGTTTTAAGTGTGAGTAGAAGGCACTTCTATTCGGTAAAGATAGGAATATATTTAAATTTACAGAGAATGGACGGGAGTTAATTGATGGAGTTTAGACTTGATGGCTCTAGTTTCTCTGAAAAAAGAAGCAGCATGTTTAGGAAGCTCCAGGGAAAGGGCTGGAAGAGTATTGAATAGTGTCAGAGTCTTTCAGTAGCTAATGTTGGGAATGGAATCAAGCCAGAGCCATAGAAAGAAGTTGCTAATTAGCAATGAGTGTTTGCAAGTATAAATCAGAAGTAGCACTAATCTGCAAGGTCTTGTGAATTTTTTTTGTTTCCTGTATAATGTTTTATTAAGTATATATACAGAAAAGGTGTATGTTTTAAGTGTACCTGGGCTGGTAATCTTCAGAAGAGGTGCCTCATAAACAATGTAATTGTCAGTATTTTTAATGCATTATTTTACTTTCAAAACATAGTGACCTTATTTCTAACCAGTCAGGTTGTCAATGAAATATTCTGAGCCTTTGATCTCAAATCAGAAAAGGAGATCTTTCTTAAAGGCAATATAGGATAACTTTTCCAAGATAATTTGCTGTGTTCCAATAAAGGTGCCCAACATTCTAGGTAAGCTACAACAAAATGTTTAACTACTATATATTATTTTATGAATCAAACCATATCAATTTTCTTTATGGAAACTTGCAGAGTATTTGCTGTTTCATTGGACACCTGTTGATGCCACTACCTTCTAGAGAGGTTAAAGTTTTATACATATATTATCAAATTTGGAAAGGAATCTTTAATGGAAAAAGTTATCATCAATTATGTTTCATTTGATTCGATGCTACTAATTCTTTTTCTTTTACTCTAATAATAAAAATATATTTATTATTTGTATTAATTAGTTTTCATTGCTATAAAGAAATACCTGTGGCTGGGTAATTTATAAAGAAAAGAGGTTTATTTTGGCTTACAGTTCTACAGCATGTATAGGAAGTATCGTGCTGGCATTTGCTTCTGATGAGGGCCTCAGGAAGTTTACGATAATGGTGGAAGGTGAATAGGAAGCAGGCAAGTCACATGGTGAGCGAGGGAGCAGGAGACAGAAGGGAGTCGTCCCATACTCTTTTAAACAACCAGATCTAATATGAAATAACTGAGCAAGAAGTCACTCATCACCAAAGGGATGACACTAAACTATTTAGGAGAGAATAGCCCCTGTGATCCAATAACTCCTGCTAGCTCCTATCTCTAACATTGGGGATTACATTTCAACATAATGTTTCGAGGGGACAAACATTCAATCATATCATAATTTAACGATAATGCCTAAAGACCCTGTGAACATTTTATGAGTTTATTCCTATCAGTAGATTACCAAGTATAAAATATCTTTTGAAAATACTTTTATGAAAGATAAAAATTATTAATTATATTTTCTTTATACAGGGAACAACCTATGAAGAGGAAATTAATAATATTAAATATATTACTTCAAAAATTAACAAAATTTTGGCTCATAATTCACCAGTTCTGATTGTTCAAAGATGGATTCGTGGTTTTTTAGTTAGAAAGAATTTGAGGTATGTTTTGTTTTCTTTACCATTGAATATTGAAATAAAAAGGTGAAGAAATAAGTGATAAAAAGTCAATTCTCCAAAAATGTGCATTTTTGTATTATCTTTCATCAAAATGACATGGTGTATTTGACCTACTCTAAGAAAAATACCACAGACTCTATAGTAATATAAGATTTGGCATAATCAACATTTGATATTTTTTCTATTCAATTTACATATAAATACAAATGTAAGCCATGGACTATATAATGGAATACAATGAAAATAGAAAACACAGAACATATATGGAAGATTTTATATTTTATTTAGATGTATATACAATTTTGCTGAGACATCTGCTGCCACATCAATCTATATTGTCCTTTATTTAGTTGTCTTTTCCTCTTTTCTTGTTTCTTGCATTCCTTTGCAGTAGCTAAGCTTTGCAAATAAATTAAACCCTTTTGCTAGAATTTCTCAACATTTTACTTTTAGAGATAAGCTAGAATACTCTGCCTTCAACTTATAGAATTGGTTATACCAAACATCAACATTAGGAGAAATACCTAATGTAAATGATGGGGGGATGGATGCAGCAAACCACCATGGTTTGTGTACAATTTTAATATTTTTTTTGTACCTGCAATCATACAGCTACAGAAAATGTGGTTTGTCATTAGATAATCACATCTTTGGGGGATTGGATGCACCTGACTATGTCTTATACTTTCTATATTGGAAATTTAATTTTCTCATAAATGTCAGAACTGTTGCCTTGCTAAAAAAATTCATATAGCTTATTCTAATTGCTGAAGTTCAGAAGATAGAAATGAAATTTGGTCATGAAATATAGATAGGATTAACATAGATCTGAAATAAGAAAATGAACATTTGTTGAAAAAGCAAGATTAGGAAGTTTCACTGAAATGAGATTCAACATTCTGTGGTAAGATAGACACAATGCCCTCTATCATTAGCCAGTATATGCTAAATCATAGGTGGCAATAGTCCTGACAAAGAGTCACAAGAATGAGGGCTAAGTAGCAAAACTGACCACAACCACAGTGCCTCCAACTTCTGAGGATGTGGTTCCATATAATTTTCACTGAGATCAAAGTATGAGAGAACATAATCTCACATTGGAGACAAGTCAAAAATAATCTGGGTAAAGGGTATGCAAAAGAATCAATCAGGCAGTTGCTGAAAAGTGCATACTTATTTAAAATATTATTTCTGTCTCTAGTTTGCATTTTAATTTAGTGTGTTCTTTATATTAAATACAAATCTAATTAAAGGATCTTATTTTTAGTTTATTCTCCAGGGATTTTTTCCTTTGGTAGAATGAACGTTATCACTGACACTCATGTAACATGTGATAAAAACTTTGTTCATAGGAACAATCTTGAAAACTCAGCATATATGAATATAATTTGAGAAATTTGCAGGAAGAGATTTCAGTAATAATATATGACAGGGTTCAAGAGAGACTGATTTGCATTTTCTCCCTCTTTAAATCTCTGTTCCATTAAGCACATTACTTATCTATGCTGCACTTGAATTTCTTTATCCATAAAATTGTAAAGAACAGAGGATAATAACAGTACTTATTTCAGTTTGCTTGTGGGAATTGAGATGATCAATATAATGCTCTTAGCACCTAGCAAAAGTAGATATTATATTCTTATTACCTATTGTTTTAAAAACTTAATTATTGTAGTTGTTATATTTGGTGCTGAGTTGTTTGGCTCTATGAGAAACTTTCCTTGGATTTCTTGGTCCCTTCCAGAATGCACAGAAGAATCTTTCAAAAATATAAATTTAATCATTTTATTCACCAACTTAAAGTCCTCCAGTGGCTTTCAATTTGTTTAAGACAAATGTTTGAGATATTGCCTCTTTGATGTGTTTCACATATTTTTGTTATCACAAGCTCTTGCCATATTGTATTATAGTCATTGCTATAATTATCTGTATCTCCAGATGTACTATAAGCTGTATTAGACTATATCTCTGTTTTCCATGCTGTATCTTTAATATATAACAGAATGCCTGACACATGTTAGGTGCACAAAAATATTTTCTGAATTGATTAATATATCAGTAAATGGAGAGACAGTCAGAGTTGTAATCAGATCTGGATTCATTCATGGAAAAGTGAAAGAAAGAATTAGGAAATATGAAGCGCTCCCCTGAGAGACAACTATGGATTCCCACAACCTAGGGTCTGAGTGATTAGTCCTCTTGTGTCTCTATTTCCGGCCATGAGAAATGTCTCTCCGCACTCAAATATTTTGTACATTGAAATTTTTAACTTATAATGTCTCTCCACACCCAAATATTTTGTACTTTGAAAATTTTAACTTAAAGTGCTTGAAATTCTATATATATGGCCAAAATTTATAAAATTATTATGATTAATGCCATTATCTTTTAGAGTGGTAGTATTTCTAGTATGGGTGATAGAATATAAGGAAAATATACTTTTATTCTTAGAATGAAATGTTGTAATTAGATTGACAGCCTCCTAATCCTGAGTGAAGGCAACTATATTGAGCTCATAGGGACGATTATCAGTTGCATTGATGGGTTTTGAAAAAGGAAAAAAAATGAAAAAGAATATAGGAAACAAACATTTATTGAATGTGTAATATATGTAAAGCACCATTTTAAGTAAATTAATCCATTATATTATTTAAGAAAACAGAGCTTTTGAGTCTGTATTTTCTGTTTTATAGATGAGATATTAAGAGTTTAAACTTGATGAGGAGGCTAAGATATGAAGCACTATCAGGCAGCTATTTTGTGTGGGGCATTTGTGGTCAGTTATTAAAAGATGAAATTGCATGTAAATAAATATCAGGTTCTGTTGTTTAGTATATTATGTAAATTCTATGCTTCTTTTACTTTTCTAACAATAGCCTTTAAGTCAGCTTTTCCAAATAGCTCTAGTAAATTCTATGCTTCTTTTACTTTTCTAACAATAGCCTTTAAGTCAGCTTTTCCAAATAGCTCTAGTCCTTTCAGTAAGGAATGGTGTTTGGAAACTAAGATCTTGAAACTAGATGTATTCTATTGGGATGTCATCATTCCTAGGCTATTTTAGCAGACAGAATATGGATTAGAAAATGGATTACTCTTTCCATCATAATTTCATGTTAACAACTCAAATGTTAATCCAACACAGAGGATTTTTCACTGCTTTCATTCAACATTATACTTCTCTCCTACTATGAGAATTTTGGTTGCCAACATTATTAATTTTACTCATTAGCTTAATCCTACAATATATACAAAATAGTTGCAAAATTGCTATTGCATACTACTATCAAAAACATATTTAATAAAATTCAAGATTTGTTGCAGAATTTTTTAAATAATTATACTGGAGATATATATTTGAAGTACTTTGTTGAATAGTTACTCTATTATAGTGATGTTCTTGTTTCTACTGATTTTCTTTTTAATTTAAAAAATATTTATTTTAGTCTTTCACTTAGGACTTTTTTTGTTGTTTTCATTTATAATTACATTCTTCTGGTTTAGTCTTATACCTAAAATGAGTTTTTAAATACTGATTTTTTTTTTCTGATTTCTATTACTGCATTTCTAAATTTGCTTTCGTATGTCTTTTATAATTTTTTTGCTATCTTTTTGTTTATTTTGAAATAATAGGTTGTAACTTTTATTTTTTATAAGCTTCACTTTCCGGCCTGCTTTCATTATCTATGATCATGTAATTATGCTATTTATTTTATTTTTTATTATAATTCTGTAAGGGATTAGATAGAGATTTTTCTGCATTGCCGTGTCTATAAAATTAGTTTTTCTCAACTCTCTTTAAGAAGAAGCTTTTCTTTAGGATTTAAAACTACTTCTGTTGTGTTTGTGTGGTATCTACCAATATCAGGGTTCTCTTTCTGATATCTCTGGCTCTGGCTCCTATCACCTCCTTGTTAATATGGATATGTTTTCTTTCTCTTTTCATCATTTTTCTCGGCTACTCCATTATGATTCCATTCCCAGGAAATTCTCAAATTGGGATTTGACCTATAAGGGAGTTTTGACTGGTTAGTTTTGGGGGTTCAGAGTCCCGAAATGCTTCAGATCCTTTAAATCTTACCACTGATGCCCATCCCCCACCCCACCCTGGATTTAGCTCCTGTTCTTACTATTTATTTTGTTTCTATTCATCCAATGCGTCATTACTTCTGTCTATTTTCTCCTGCATAATTGCTAACACCACAGTGGGCTTACAGTTGTCACTGATTTTTCCCCACTGAGTCACATTTGGGATTTCCCCAGGATACCTTGTCACACAGTACTGTTGTAGATATATATGTATACACACACACACACACACACACACACACACACACACACACACACATTTTTGAGATGTGGTCTCGTTGTGTTGCCCAGGCTGGAATGAGGTGGTATGATCTCAGCTCACTACAACCTCTGCCTTCTAGGTCCAAGCAATTCTTCCTCCTCAGCCTCCTGAGTAGCTGGGACTACTCGCATCACCATAGCTGGCTAATTTTTTGTAGTTTTAGAGGAGATGGGGTTTCACAATGTTGGCCAGGATGGTCTCGATCTTCTGACCTCGTGATCCACCCACTTCGGCCTCCCAAATTGCTGGGATTATAGGCATGAGCCACTGCATCCAGCTGTGTTGTAGATATTTTAAAATTTTTGCCTTCTAGTTACTATGTGTGTTTTTATGAAGGAATCTGGAGAAATTAGAAAACTGTCATTGCCACAAATATTATCCCACAGTACCTTTAAAAAGTATTGTTTATATGTTAAAAGCACCATTCAATAACTATTTCTGACAAACTAAATATCTGTGACTCACATTTTAGGTGATACTTATTAAATAAATATTTATATTTTAAAACATAGAAGGTGAGGAGAAAGTAAATATCCTATAATTATATCATGAGAGGTATGATTAGGGGAACTTGGATATTTAAGTATCAAAATAGTAAATTTAAGGCAATTCGAATAGTTGACTTCAAATTGTTGAATATTTTCTGTATGTAAAATAGATAAAAGAATCAGGTGTAGTAAGAGAAAGTTTTAGAAAGACAAATTTCAGCTTATTTTTCCAAGAAAAATGTTTAACTCTGATTGATTGTATCATTGCAAATTTCTTTTTGCATGTAGGGTCAATGTAGGAATCATCTAAGTGTAGGGCTATAATAAACTAGGTTTTAGCAGAAGCAAGAGTTTACTATATGAAAAGTCTGAGATAATTAGACTGCATTTTCCAGTAAGTATGATTAAAATATGTTCATATATGTATTGGAAAATAATAGAAAATAGTATGTTATTTTATCCAATGAGGAGCAAGATAAGGAGGCCCATAATCATTGGTATATTACAATTTCCTAAAATCTTTAGTAAATTTGATAATTAAAAAAAGAAAATATATTTGTGTGTTTTACTTATTCAATTCATTTCTCTGTAAGAGAGATCCC